AAAAAAAGTAAATAAACACACGCTCCTGGCACCGTTTGCCGGTACATGTGACAAAGCGAATTACTCATGTCCGTGTTCTATGCGAAGTACCACAGCACGAAAGGACCACTCGCCCCGTGACGAAGGTGGCAACTACATTGACTATGACATACTATGACTCTATGACTATACTACTACTAGGATCTACTAGGTAGGGCCTAGCATACCAAGCACACGGATCGAGAACCCCACTAGCTGCGGCGCTCGGCTCCTGGGTGTTCAGGTGCACGAGGCGCAACTCCAAGGGGCGACGCGTCACGACTCCGCCGCCCCGGGGAAGGAAGTCCAAGCCGACGATCGACTCGATCAAAGAGCTTTTGCCTCAGCCAGGTAGCTGAGCTGACCACGAAGGTATATCCAAAAGAAGGTCGAAGATCTAAAAGGGCCGTGGCACAGGTTGGAATGTGTGCCAAATCGCCCGTGGCACAGGTTGGAATGGAAAACGACCACACCAAAAGGCAAAATGGTTTGCAGGTCCAAGAAGCAACTACTAAAAACACTTAGTCACATATCAGCATCATGTTATTATATAAGGTTCTAGCACTGGACGGCCTGCCATTGTTACTCAACCACCTCTCTCCCTCTCTCTTCCAACGAGGCGCCACTGCTTTGCGTGCCAATTGCAGCAATGCGCGGCAGACTGATGTAGTGCTGCAGGCCAACATCCCGCAGTTCATCTACCTGAACGCTTCTGGGCCGGCCAGACTGAGTCTAGACTAGGGATGCCCAGAAACAAACACCTCTTGTACTCTGTAAGCACTTTCCTTTCATAGCATGGCTCTCTTAGCAGGCAAGCAGCAACAGTAATCAGCTGCCGTAAGTTCTCGTAGATGGCCGACATCGCGGGTGCGCGGGTGCGCGCCGCTGGGCCCCCGACACCCAGCACTCGAACCACAAGCGCGTCAACTGGCCCGGCACGGTAAACGAGAGAACGGCTCGACACTTCTTCCCTCCTCACAAGGCTCTGGAACAGCCTGAGCCAGCAAATTCAACAGCCTGAGCCTTTAAAAAGAGGTGGCTCAACACGGGGCGATAGCCTATCAACCAACGTGCTGCATTCTTGTCTGAAACATAACAAACGTACTGCCACACGTTTTCGTCGATTCACGTCGCTGCAAAACCGAGCACTACAATTCACTACAATTGATGGTGACATTTGCTCTGCAAATTCACGAGCCACCTCATCCTTCACTTTCCTGACTTTCCAACCTTCATGTAGCCTGGAAAATACACCTCAGTCAAACAGGTTCTTTTGCTGAGGCTTGGCATCGTCAAAGAGAGGGTTGCGTCCAGTGGGAGCGGGTGTACCTCCAAACACGCTGGCCGGCTTTGGCGCGGCCGTGACTGCAGGCCGCGCAGCAGGTGTTGCTGACACAGTGGCGGTTGAGACCACCGGAGCCTTAGACACAGCTGGCACAGCAGGGCTTGGCTGTGCATATGCGGGCGTTGCCTTTGGCTGTGCAGGTTTGGTTGGGGGTAGTGGCTCCTCCTCCTCAGCCTCAAAAGCTATGGCAGCCAAGGTGGGGTCCCTGGTGAGGACAGCGCTGGCCTTCTGCAACACTTGCAGTTGGTTGTGCAAGGTGCGCCTTTCCTCCATGATGTGAGGCGGTTCACCCAACATCTCTGACAGCTTGTCAGGTTTGTTCAAGGCACTAAGGAGCTCAAACTGCAGCTTCTCCTGAACTGCCCTCACCAAATAGAAACCAATTGCCTTGGGCACAGAGTCCCGAACACTTCTGACAGTTACCTCAAAGTAGGAGTCTAGCCGTTTGCGAATCTCTTGGACAAATGGGCCACTATATCTGGGCTGTCTTCTCTCCGAAGCTGTGTCCTTCTTGAGGAAGGTGCTCACACTTTGATACGCGGCTCTGCTTCCATCCTTCACCTGATTGAGGGTTTTCTCTGCCATTCCTGGCACAGGGTGGATGCCATCTATGCTGCTATGCTGTTCAACGCGGTTGCTGGAGGTGCTGTATTCCCTCGCTTTTGTTCATTCACCTGACTACTCTTGGTCTTCAAACCTATTGGCCTGTTCATCCCGCCGACTGCATGATGCACAGTACACTTTCAAGACCCCAACCCTGAGATGCCTGGCTCCTTGGGCTTTTCCTCCTCAACAGGCGGAGCTGGCTTCGCAGGCTGCTGATTCTTATACATAGGTTCCATGGAGCCATGCTGCGTGAGATACTCAGGGTCCTTGCATGTCAAGCCAGGACAAATTATCTTGGTACCATCCCTTCGCCTGCTAATTACCCTTTGCAAGGACCAACTTTGCTGGTGGGGCCGGAAGAAATTAAGCTCATTGCAGAAAAGGATCGTTGGTAAAGAGGTAGCCGATGTAGCAAGCCACCTGCTCTTCCACTATTCTCCTTGCCTCATCCTTCTGTTCTTGGATGATATTCTGAGTCATGGTGAGCACAGCCTCAGCCATCTTTGGGAATCGGCGGAATACTGCATGAGCCATCCTCTGCGCCAAGACATCCAAGGCTGACGAGATGTCATGGACACATTCCACTGAAGGGATGGCCAACTTCTGCAAGTGCGGCAGGGCGAGAAATTCGAAGGTGTCTGGTGAAGGAAAACCAGGCAAAGAGTCTCCCTCATGAAGACGGATGGCGCGGTCAATGTCATCATCTGTCATCTCCGAAGTGATCTTTGTTTCGCCTCAGCTTAGCTGGAACGCACAAAGGCACCTGTTTGCTCTGGGGCCGGCATGCAACCTAGAGGACACAATGGAAAAGGCTACTGTCTAAATCTCTGAAATTCTCACCGCCTCCTTTGCATTTTCCCGCCCTGGCCAAAGTCACAGAAGTCAACGAGGAAATCGTTCATGATCGTCCGAATCCTTAGGGTAGTTCTTTCAAACATTCCCACAGGTGAGGAAAACGACCAATGCTTCTTGCATCGGCAGGGGTGGCCTATGGGCAGGGTAGGGCCAGGTCTATTTTAGGCCTACGGCCTATGGGCAGGGGTCGAGGTAGGACTACCATAGGTTTATGGGTACGGGTAGGCATAGGGATACTGGGTAGGGTAGGGTAGCCATCTATAGACCCTAGCCTAGGTAGACTATACCCCTATACGTGGGAGTTCTATATGCCCCAACCGTTCAACAGGGGCTCTGAGGATTGTTTACATGTGTGAGCAGGGACATTGCAAGCACCTCATTCATATATAGATAGACGGCACAGTAAAAGGCACACCTCGTCGACAAGAGAACCTTGAGACTTCAGTGATTGCATATTGTTCTTGTCTTGCGCCCAGAATGTAAAAGCCCCGGGAGGAAAAACAAACATGTACATGTACTTACTTAGAGGAATTTCTGTCTTGCTTTCTATCTTGATTATTGTTTGCGTACAATAGCACCCCAAAGTGGCCAACAGGAAGCAAAACAACAAACAACAAGAGTCGATTGATCCCTTTCTGAGAGGCCTCTCCTCAGAGTGCTTCTTGCTCAGCCATGTTTCTTCTGCTTACTATTTGTGTTCTTTGCTTATGACATGTTTTGCTCAGCCATCAATTGTTGCCAACATCAGAGCATGGAGTCGGTACCAAAGAAAAGATCCCGGAAGCACCATCCGGGAGCTAACCGCTTTGAGTGCCAAGCATCTTGTTGCCTCCTGAAGTGTTGCCTCCCTGGGATCCCAAGTTTACCAGGTAGCGCTGCAATTTGCGATCGTATTTGCCACCTCAAATCACAAGAATTCTAGAACTGGCTTAAGGGAAAATCATAGAACAATCTATATGCAGGAAACCCATCGTTTGGGTCTGTAGATTTTCCCGTTAACAAATGGAACTATGAAAACGTGTGTAAAAACCGGGTCGGTGCAACAAAGACTGCCTCGCAATGTCGTCCAAACATGCTTATTCTATGTTGTGTCTATTGGATTTCTTTGTTGAACTCTTGAGAATCTCATCTCCTCTTGTTGAGTCTCATGCATGAAACATGAACGCCATGCCCCAACCTTGACAGCGCCGTTTGAAACACAGCGTGTCTCATGCATGACTTTCTGACCTGAGTGTCGCATTGCTTCTCAGCTGAGGCACGGATGGTATTTTTGAACATGTCACAGTAGTCCGTGACCAAAGTCCACATCACCTGCACCCGTTCCGCAGTGTCGACTGGAACACCCTCGCCGAGCTCGTCCAAACGATCTTGCACTGAACGGCGCTTTTCATTGATCTCTTTCTTGATCTCTGGCAGAAACCTTCGAATATGTTTGAAGAGAATCTGGGTGAGCTTGTCAATCAAGACAGGAGTGCCCACCAATCCTGGAGGAAGCTTGTTGTAGACTCGGTGGTTCTCAAACCAAGCCTTCTCATCCTTCAATGAATCCTTCACGGGCTTTTTGTTGACAATGTCTTGCTGACTTCGCATCTTGACACCCACATAGCCCAGGCGCAAGGGGACTTCGTCCCCCCCTCAACATGGAAGCAGCATCTGTACCCTGATCCATGATGTCAATCTTGGTAATCACACCGATCGATCCTCAGTGATTGATGCGGAGAGGGTGAGAATGGTTCCATCGATTTGGCGCATTCTCGGCATCCGATGTTACCCCTTGGCTCCTATGATTCCAAGGGGGTTTTTAAACTAGACTAGCGGAGCAAACACATGCCTATGTTTCGCACATGTTGCACTGCACGGTGACATGAAAATCAAGGTCCTTGTCAAGGACATGAACATGAACATCACGTCGGTGCCAATTCGATCCCAACTCTATCCCAGGTCTCGATGATTGGAGTTGAAGATATTTGAAGGTAACTTGTTTTGGGCAGGTCTTCAAAGGATTCTTTTCTTCATGTTCCAGTCTCTGGGTGTTCTGAGGATTTGGGTCATCTAGGTCAGCGTCAGGTCTCCGCTGTAGCGCGGGGAACTGCGTCAGAAAGCAGCAGTGCCTAGAGCACCTGCGTCTTCAAAGCAGTTTTTACGAAGCGAAAGGTCCGCCAAAACGAAAACCAAAGCCATGACGTGCAAACCATGATGCCGATTTGAAACAATGATGCCAATGAGGGAACCATGAATGGCGGAAAAAAAAAAAGAAAAAAACACCAGAAGGGATCAGGGGAGGAGGATTTTGCTTGATGTTGTTCGTTTCTACTTCTGTTCCTTTTTGATCCATAGGCTGTCCAATTGGGAAAGTCAGCCGGCCCCTAGCCAAAGGCATCCATATTTTAGATGGATAAACGGTAGAATAAAGCCGACAAAGAACTACAAACATTCAAGGTCAGGGTATTCAATACAATCATATAGTTGCAATACCAATACTATACAATAATTGGCACGGGTCAAAGGAGAGGGGCCCGAAAACAGCTGGTATGCATGCAATAATGCAATATCACTCTTCAGCTGAGCTTCGCAAACCTTGTGGGTCAACCTGACGTGCAAGTTGCAGGGAGTCCGAAACAGACATGTCCTGATTGGCGGGCAAAACTGCCAAGACGATGGTGCGAGGATCATTGATGTAGTGGAGAGTCATGTCCCGGGTCACCTCAAAGATAATCAAGTTTCTGCAGCACGGCATCACTCAAGGATCACTCAAGGCACAGCATGATTCAAGCATAAACTCTTCTGCCGGATAGCGGTGTACACAATGAAGTTGAGTAAGCACCACCACAAAAGAAGAAGATTTGCGACTACAATATTACAATTGAACATGTCAATTTGGAGTTAAGGACCGCCTGACCTAGCATAGCCTAGCATAACCCGGCTAAGAGCCAAGCCTTCTCCACATCATCCTTCTGATCACTGCCTTTCACTGGCACACGCGTGATGCCCGGCAGGTCAATGAGAGTAAGATCTGGGGCTCCAGTAGCATAGATCGTCAAAATGATGGGATCATTCACGATGCCCTTGTTAGATCCAGCCACTTGGTCAGTTTGTCGCTCAATCTCATCCCTGACGTCATTGAAGTTCGTGAACTTCTTGTCGCCGACCTGTTCGATGCGCTTGTGGCAAGTCACATCAAGTCCACTGTGGCCTGGGGTTTACATGGTGCAAGTTCGAGTAGATTCCTCCGAGGGGTCTGCAAGGTTTTGCGGGAGTGTTTTTGGACTGCTACAAACTCTGACAAGCCCGAGTCTTCCTTCTTTTTGGATGTTTTAGGAACAAGGGTTCAAGTGTGAGGTTTTGGCTAGGTTGGGTCTGTGAGGATCCAGGTCCTGCCTACTCTGTCTCCCTCTGCAGGGGTCCAGTTGTATGTGTGTGTGTGTCCTCTCTCTCTCTCTCTCTCCGTCTCTGTCACTGTCTCTGTCTGTCTCTGTCACTGTCTCTGTCACTGTCTCTGTCTCTGTCTCTGTCTCTGTCTCTGTCTGCCTGCCCGTCTGTCTGTGTCTCCCCTTTGCTCACTCTCCACAGTTCAGGTGTCCAACTGTGCCTTGTCGAAAACTGCCCATGCCTCATTTTCAGCATACTCCTGCCAAAGCCGAAGACGCACCGAATCTGAAACGTGAGTTCGCAACACACTGTCCAAAGGTTGGTGAAATGGAGTTGCTTCGTCGACAGTGTTCAGTTTGCACCTACAGCCAAATTGCCAAAAACGGATAGTGACCTTGCTTGCCCTCTGTGCCTCCCTGGAATCCCACCAGTCATGTGATAGCTATGAGCCAAACTGAGCCAAACAACAACAAAGCCTCGGTAGCGAAAGAACCGTAGAACCACAAGAACCTCCTGACAGTCCTCCTGACGCACTGGAACCATCGGTGTGTAATAAAGGTGGTTTGTTGAACGAGCCGACCAGTGTTTTGCGTCGGCTCGTCGGCTTCGCATCGACGGCTCGGCGCCGAGAACAGATGGAAACTGCGTTGATTGGTTTCTGGGTCTGTGAGGATCTCAAGCTGTTGGACCAGCCGCGTTGGTCGCTCAAACAGCCTTTGCGGCAGCCTTTGCGACATGTAACAGCTATCAGTGTTGCTCTTGGAGCTTGAAGCCGCGTCGAGGCTCAAGAAACTGGCAGATTTGGAAGTTTGAGATCTTGAGGTTTTGAGATTTCGTGGTTCCTCACTGCTGCATTTTTACCTGGACTTCGTTTCATTAGGGTTTGGGCATTAATTTTCATACATACTTTATCTCTGGTGCCAGTGTGTGCGTGCGTCTGTCGGTGCAGATATGGCAACGACGTGTTTTGCTACAACAAGGTTGGTCATGATGAAGGCATTGCTCGTCATGTCCGTCCCCCAAAAAAAGTAAATAAACACACGCTCCTGGCACCGTTTGCCGGTACATGTGACAAAGCGAATTACTCATGTCCGTGTTCTATGCGAAGTACCACAGCACGAAAGGACCACTCGCCCCGTGACGAAGGTGGCAACTACATTGACTATGACATACTATGACTCTATGACTATACTACTACTAGGATCTACTAGGTAGGGCCTAGCATACCAAGCACACGGATCGAGAACCCCACTAGCTGCGGCGCTCGGCTCCTGGGTGTTCAGGTGCACGAGGCGCAACTCCAAGGGGCGACGCGTCACGACTCCGCCGCCCCGGGGAAGGAAGTCCAAGCCGACGATCGACTCGATCAAAGAGCTTTTGCCTCAGCCAGGTAGCTGAGCTGACCACGAAGGTATATCCAAAAGAAGGTCGAAGATCTAAAAGGGCCGTGGCACAGGTTGGAATGTGTGCCAAATCGCCCGTGGCACAGGTTGGAATGGAAAACGACCACACCAAAAGGCAAAATGGTTTGCAGGTCCAAGAAGCAACTACTAAAAACACTTAGTCACATATCAGCATCATGTTATTATATAAGGTTCTAGCACTGGACGGCCTGCCATTGTTACTCAACCACCTCTCTCCCTCTCTCTTCCAACGAGGCGCCACTGCTTTGCGTGCCAATTGCAGCAATGCGCGGCAGACTGATGTAGTGCTGCAGGCCAACATCCCGCAGTTCATCTACCTGAACGCTTCTGGGCCGGCCAGACTGAGTCTAGACTAGGGATGCCCAGAAACAAACACCTCTTGTACTCTGTAAGCACTTTCCTTTCATAGCATGGCTCTCTTAGCAGGCAAGCAGCAACAGTAATCAGCTGCCGTAAGTTCTCGTAGATGGCCGACATCGCGGGTGCGCGGGTGCGCGCCGCTGGGCCCCCGACACCCAGCACTCGAACCACAAGCGCGTCAACTGGCCCGGCACGGTAAACGAGAGAACGGCTCGACACTTCTTCCCTCCTCACAAGGCTCTGGAACAGCCTGAGCCAGCAAATTCAACAGCCTGAGCCTTTAAAAAGAGGTGGCTCAACACGGGGCGATAGCCTATCAACCAACGTGCTGCATTCTTGTCTGAAACATAACAAACGTACTGCCACACGTTTTCGTCGATTCACGTCGCTGCAAAACCGAGCACTACAATTCACTACAATTGATGGTGACATTTGCTCTGCAAATTCACGAGCCACCTCATCCTTCACTTTCCTGACTTTCCAACCTTCATGTAGCCTGGAAAATACACCTCAGTCAAACAGGTTCTTTTGCTGAGGCTTGGCATCGTCAAAGAGAGGGTTGCGTCCAGTGGGAGCGGGTGTACCTCCAAACACGCTGGCCGGCTTTGGCGCGGCCGTGACTGCAGGCCGCGCAGCAGGTGTTGCTGACACAGTGGCGGTTGAGACCACCGGAGCCTTAGACACAGCTGGCACAGCAGGGCTTGGCTGTGCATATGCGGGCGTTGCCTTTGGCTGTGCAGGTTTGGTTGGGGGTAGTGGCTCCTCCTCCTCAGCCTCAAAAGCTATGGCAGCCAAGGTGGGGTCCCTGGTGAGGACAGCGCTGGCCTTCTGCAACACTTGCAGTTGGTTGTGCAAGGTGCGCCTTTCCTCCATGATGTGAGGCGGTTCACCCAACATCTCTGACAGCTTGTCAGGTTTGTTCAAGGCACTAAGGAGCTCAAACTGCAGCTTCTCCTGAACTGCCCTCACCAAATAGAAACCAATTGCCTTGGGCACAGAGTCCCGAACACTTCTGACAGTTACCTCAAAGTAGGAGTCTAGCCGTTTGCGAATCTCTTGGACAAATGGGCCACTATATCTGGGCTGTCTTCTCTCCGAAGCTGTGTCCTTCTTGAGGAAGGTGCTCACACTTTGATACGCGGCTCTGCTTCCATCCTTCACCTGATTGAGGGTTTTCTCTGCCATTCCTGGCACAGGGTGGATGCCATCTATGCTGCTATGCTGTTCAACGCGGTTGCTGGAGGTGCTGTATTCCCTCGCTTTTGTTCATTCACCTGACTACTCTTGGTCTTCAAACCTATTGGCCTGTTCATCCCGCCGACTGCATGATGCACAGTACACTTTCAAGACCCCAACCCTGAGATGCCTGGCTCCTTGGGCTTTTCCTCCTCAACAGGCGGAGCTGGCTTCGCAGGCTGCTGATTCTTATACATAGGTTCCATGGAGCCATGCTGCGTGAGATACTCAGGGTCCTTGCATGTCAAGCCAGGACAAATTATCTTGGTACCATCCCTTCGCCTGCTAATTACCCTTTGCAAGGACCAACTTTGCTGGTGGGGCCGGAAGAAATTAAGCTCATTGCAGAAAAGGATCGTTGGTAAAGAGGTAGCCGATGTAGCAAGCCACCTGCTCTTCCACTATTCTCCTTGCCTCATCCTTCTGTTCTTGGATGATATTCTGAGTCATGGTGAGCACAGCCTCAGCCATCTTTGGGAATCGGCGGAATACTGCATGAGCCATCCTCTGCGCCAAGACATCCAAGGCTGACGAGATGTCATGGACACATTCCACTGAAGGGATGGCCAACTTCTGCAAGTGCGGCAGGGCGAGAAATTCGAAGGTGTCTGGTGAAGGAAAACCAGGCAAAGAGTCTCCCTCATGAAGACGGATGGCGCGGTCAATGTCATCATCTG